CAAAAGGGAAACTCCTACAAATGCATATTCAGTAACGTGAGTCGCAAAAATAACCGTGTCCACGCCTTTTCAGTGCTAATTTCCCATTGTGTGTCTTTAGTAAATCCTGACAGTAGTTTTTAACGCCAAATGAGGGTTTGCGCTGGCGAAAGCCCTATGAATGCCAAACATTCCGTAAAGCTAATGGAAGATTAGAATTGTTAAATGTCTTCAAAAGTTTTTAAAGAGCGCAGCCCACTTTAGGCCGAAATGATCTGTATGTTTAGCGCTGAATTAATTTCAGAAGTTTAATACTGAGGAATGGGAAATATCTACGCAGTGCAGCCTTGCAACCACCGTAATAAAAAGAAACACCTCTTCAAGACTAATTGCCATCTTTGAGAGTTGTCCTGCTGCCCGTGAGTCATGCTGAAGAGTGACAGGAGGAGAGCTTTGGTGAGTCTCCTGACGGGCCGAGTAGATGTGCATGGGACTCTCTGGGCTCTCAAGTCCCCGGTCAGTGCCTCATCTCTGGCCCGGCCCCAGCAGGCCTGTCTCACAGAGCACTAGGTCATTCACATGCATCATCTGTTCTCCTCTGCCAGGCTGCTTGTTTGTTTTTGTCTTTGCCTTGGGAAATTTGCAGTGTCGGAGAGCATTTCAGCTCGAAGCATCTGTTGTAGGCAGCCTGGGTTTTGTTTTCTTTTCTTTTTTTAATCAATCGACCTGAAACAGGAGGATACTGCTGCTCAAAAACAGGAGAGGGAGAATTTCATAACACTGATTTTGTTGTAGAGTCTGTGCATTACAGTCATTTTATGGCAACAAAAACACTGCTGTTTAATAAATAGTGAAATGTGAGAGATTTAATAAGTGAATTAACTGTAGGCTGTTTATGATTGGCATGCGGTGCAGCATCTTGTTTTATTAATGTAGTATGTCTGCTCACATATTGGCTAGTTTAAATGGCTAATCACAATAGAGTCGGAACTGTACATTATATATTTCTTATTTTTCTTGCACGGACTTGGTTAGGTCAGTAGAAGAAACAGACATTTCAGAGACTTTTAATGAAAGATTATGAAATCAAAAAGTTTTTTCGCTATATAATAATGTGTACCGATGAGTCATACACAATAAGACTAGGGACATTTCTATGGCAAGTCAATAGGGTCTGTTTCATGTCGTCTTCAAAGTGAACAAACATACTGAGTGATGAGTCACCAACAGAAGGAAAACCAACATACTGATTTTAGTAAGGGCAAAAATGAAATCGAAAACTGTTGTTTGGATGATAGTCTTTTAATTATTAATTGCTGATAAAATGTGCAAAATGGGAGTGAAGGGAATATTTCAAGGCTTTAGACTTTCAAAAGTCACGCATGACCTTTTTTAACCCTCAGAGACCCCATGCAGTGAAGCTGAATGAAAAGGAAAGAAATCTTCTAAATATGGCTTAAACCTACAGCAGTTTATCTGTTTAATTAATTAAATTTTATTTAATTATATAAAAATATAATTTAGTTAAAGGGATACTCCACCCCAAAATGAAAATTTTGTCATTAATCACTGACCCCCATGTTGTTCCAAACCCGTAAAAGCTTCGTTCGTCTTCGGAACACAATTTAAGATATTTTGGATGAAAACCGGGAGGCTTGTGACTGTCCCATTGACCGCCAAGTAAATTACACTTTCAAGGTCCAGAAAAGTATGAAAGACATCGTCAGAATAGTCCATCTGCCATCAGTGGTTCAACCGTAACGTTATGAAGCGACGAGAATACTTTTTGTAAACGAAGAAAACAAAAATAACGACTTTATTCAACAATTCGTCTCCTCTGTGTCTCTCTGCCTCACCGTAGCGCCATTTTGGAGAACATCCACTGAACACAAGTAGCGTACACTATTCTGTGTCAGCCTCGACACAAGGATACGTTTTCTACGTGTATTTACGCTTTGATTTGAACGAAAACAGCGCATCCGTGTGTTGCATCTGACACAGAAGAGCGTACGCTGCTTGCGTTCAGCGGATATTCTCCAAAATGGCACTACGGTGACGCGGAGAGACACAGAGGAGACGAATTGTTGAATAAAGTCGTTATTTTTGTTTTCTTCGCATACAAAAAGTATTCTCGTCGCTTCATAACGTTACGGTTGAACCACTGATGGCAGATGGACTATTCTTGAAAGTGTAATTTACTTGGCGGTCAATGGGACAGTCACAAGCCTCCCGGTTTTCATCCAAAATATCTTAAATTGTGTTCCGAAGACGAACGAAGCTTTTACGGGTTTGGAACAACATGGAGGTCAGTGATTAATGACAAAATTTTCATTTTGGGGTGAAGTATCTCTTTAAATATTAAATACATGTTATATTAAATATGAAATAATTATAAATAAATATCTAATTTAAAATGTTGATTTAATTAATTTTTGATCAAATTTAGCGGTCTTCCAAATAAATATTTGATGAATGGCCAAACAATATGAACTTCTGTAAATATGATTTTTCTCACTGTTGCAGAAATGCAAGAATATGTTGCAGGTCAGTTTTACACATTTTGGTTTTTGTGTTTTTGGAAATACTGGTTAACCTATGATGCTTTTCTTGAAATTTTGTGACTTTTTCTTGTTTAGGGTCATGAAAATGCCTGCAAAAGTGTTGTGTCGGATGTGTTGTGTACTGTGTGTACACAATTTCTATTATGATTGTCATGTTTGTGGGTCAATAAGCCCACATATTTCATCATTAAAGATAACGGCACAGACATTTTTTGAGGTATTTTATGTCAGATTTACATTTAAGCATTTGACAGATGCCTTAATCTGCAAAAATATACACTGCATTAAAGGCGTACATTTTTATCAGTTTATGCATGTCCCTGATGCATACTGAAGTGCTGGTGTCTATTTTCATTCGCATTTGGCATTTGCTGCCATGGCAACCTGCTCTTCTGTATGTATGTGAGCACCATATAGGTCATGCTGCTTATCTGAGGCTCAGCAGAAACAGAACCTGCTCTGCATCCTCGCTGTGATTCATTATGAACATGTAATGGCCAGAGTTTAATATGGCGCATTCATAGGGGGATTGTGAAAGTTGTTTTTATTGATTTTCATAGCTCATGAAAGTATGTGAGCTGGAGGAGGCGGAGTCGACCCTCCACTCATTTGTGAAAAGTTCCTCTCCCCAGTTTGAATTTCTCAAAGTAGTGACTCTCAGTCAGCTCGTTATATAGGAACTGTTGAGATGTTATTCTTATGCTATTCTCAGTATTCAGGCAAGATTAATTTAATGGTCTGGTATCAAATGATAGAATGTTAATAAGGGAAGAACCAGTTCAATCATGACAACTCTCGGAAGATTTTAGCATGGTGATGGATATGACAATGTTAATGTATTTGGTCTTGGCGGAACAGATCTGCTACGCTGCTGCTGAATTGCTGCTGCTGTTGGTTATTGCGGTAGTTGTAGATTATTGCTGCTGCTGCAAGCAAGTACAGAAACTTGCTACTGCCAATGCATATGGCGATACGGTGCCATGAGTATTTAAGACATACTGCTGCTGCACAGATAGCATGTAAAATAACCCGTAGCAGATCTATACAGGTGGAGCTGGGGAAGGTGGAGGGTTTCAGAGAAACTGTGAAAGCGCGCTGCAGGAATCTCAAGTGAATGCTAGCCAGCCATATAAATGCAAGGCAGTAAGCTCATTGGCTGCATATGCAGCATGAACCAATCAGCTTGTGCCAAGTCGTTTAACTCTCTGAATATCATCAGTTACGTTAACACCCCGTCAGAATGTGCCATCTAGAGTTTCATGACTGAACTGTGTATTTATAATCTTGTTTTAGTACCTGGTGCTTAGTAGTTTGTAGTTTCTTTTAGAAGTTAAAGATGTATCCTATTAAGTTACTTAGTTACTTTTATGGAAAGTAATGTGTTGCGTTACGTTACTTTTGCGTTAGTATTTCTCTTCTGGCCTGACTTGCTTGTTTATTTTTGATATAAATAAAGTTCTATTTTTTGGCAAATGTAAAAGCCCTTCTTTCTTGATCTTTGAAGGTCAACAGCAAAGACACTGATTATAAAATGGGATAACTTGTTTGAAAAAGTAACTCAGATATTTTATTGTAAATTAAAAAGTAACCTGTTACTTTACTAGTTACTTGAAAATGTAATCTGATTGCGTATCTATCTATCTAGCTATCTATCTATCTATCTATCTATCTATCTTTGAGTCCAGTATGAGTCAGTTGGACAAAGAAAATTTATACCTACTCTACCGTTTATTGTTTTTGAGTCTTTACCAAGACTACATTTATTTGATCAAAAATACCGTAAAACAGTAATATTGTGTAATATTATTGCATTTCAAAATAGCTGTTTTCTATTTGAATATGTTTTCAAATGTAACTTATTTCTGTGTTATTTCTTCAAAGCTGAATTTCCAGCATCATTACTCCAGTCTTCAGTGTCGCATGATCCTTCAGAAATCATTCTAATATGCTGAATTGATGGTCAAGAAACAATTATTATTATTATTAGTATCAGTGATGAAACAGTGATGCATTTTTCAGGATTCTTTGATAAATAGAACATTCAAAAGAAGCATTTATTTGAAATAGAATTTCTTGTAACATTATAAATGTCTTTAAACTGTCACTTTTGATCAATTTAATGCATCCTTGCTGAATAATATTATTAATTTCTTAGACAAAGACATACTGACCCTGGCCTGTAGTATAGGATAATGTCATTTAACTTACAATACAACTTTTTTATTTTATTTTTAACTGACTTTACAATCCAAATTATCACAATTTATGAGGTTGCTTTCCAAATCCATTCAAAAATCTGCGGAGCATGCGTTTTTGCATATAAATGTCTTAAATAACTTGTGTTTAATTAATTACTGAAGGGATTTATAGTCATTCCCCTGGTAGAGGTGCTCTCATAAAGTGTGTTTAGCAAAACTAGCTAGTGCAACACCTAAATGCCTCTTCTCTTTGATATTACAGGGCAGAAAAAACAGAGGTACTGAGTGAAGACCTGCTGCAGGTGAGATGAAATCAGATCAGTGTGAACACAAGCTGTATATATTTACCTACTGCTCTAATCTACTCTTATTTCTACTGCACAGCTCATATGCTTCACATGTGTTTATTTTGCATTCAGGTGGAGAAGCGTTTAGACCTGGTAAAGCAGGTCTCTCATAGCACACATAAGAAGCTGGCCGCCTGTCTGCAGGGACAACAAGGCACCGATTTAGAAAAGAGATCAGTCAAATCTCCCTCGGTACATCAGCTCTCACACCTCACACTCCTGTTTTCTGCACTGAAATTAATTACACTCATAACAGCTTGATTGTGGTTTTTCCTAAGCAGAAAAAGTTGCCCCTGACGATACTTGCTCAATGTATGGTGGAGGGAGCGGCTGTGTTAGGAGACGACTCTCTTCTTGGGTGAGTTTGTCTTTGTATTTTGATGTCTAAACAGATTTTTCAAACTGTTTACCTTGGGCTGCATCATAATTTACAATCGAATGGGCATCAATGGAGAATTATGCTTTTAAACCCACATTTGCAAAAAGTCTATTTCTTAGTATTTTCTCAGTGTTTGCTTTTGTTTTCCAGTACAAATACCTAAACATTCTTAAATCAAGATACATTTCCTTGTAAGTTTTCACTTTGAATTAAGTTTATTTTCTTAGCCTACACCACAAATGCTTTTTCTTGTTTTAAGCGTAAATTTAATTTGGACAAATTTTTCGGAAAACACAAGACTTGTGATTTACATAATTTTTCTAAAAACTTTACTTTTTTCCCCTTTGGCAGATATTTTTTCTTGTCTTCCAGAATGTGATTTTGCTTCCAAGTAAAAGTCTTAAAATTAAAAAAGGGAAGATGTGGGAAATTAACAGATGGGACGTCAATGTACACTAAAAAAATGGCAATACAAATGGCTCCAGGTTGAGCTGAGGAAGTGATGCCAAAAAGCTGTGATATGTTCAGATTCAGTGATATCACTTCACTCATTTCACACAAACTGATGTAATATTTTAGCAAAAATACTGAATTGTATTATAATACCGATTCAGACAGAAATGGCAGACAAAAGGGTGAATCAATCACTTAGACTGGGCAAGACAAATTTAATAATTGCACAAAGGAAAATCAGAAAGGAAGCATGTAATTCGAGCTTGCAATATATGTATATATATTTGTGTGTGTGTGCATATATATATATATATATATATTCCGTACCCACTGTATATATATATATATAATATTTACTTTTATTTTTATATTTTCAGTTTTCATTTTAATTTTTGTTTATGGAATATTGTGCTTTTGCCATTTGTATTTTTAATATTTCTATTTAGCTTTATTTTTATTTTAAAATTATTTTATTTGTGGTTGTTGCAACATTCATTTTTTTATTTAATTATATAAATCTGTTCGTCTAAAGATTTATATTATTAATTTTATTGTTTTTTTTTTTTTAGTTTTAATTTTAGTTAACAATAAGACCACTGTCAGACTGGACAATATCTACATAAAATACAAAATATTCCACAAAATCACCAGAAGCAGGTAAAATGATCAAACGTTATTAAAGTCATTTGAAACAGTGAACTTATAGGATACAACAACTCATCCTTAAAGGGATAGTTCACCCCAAAAATGAAATTTCTGTCATTAATTACTCACCCTCATGTCGTTCCAAACCTGTAAGACCTCCGTTCATCTTCAGAACACAAATTAAGATATTTTTGATGAAATGTGAGAGCTCTCAGACCCTGTATAGACAGCAACGCAAATGTAATGTTCGTTGTTCGTAATGTTCGGCGGAAGACATAACTCGGGGGAGAATAATTGTTAAATAAATTGTTATTTTTGTTTTCTTTGCACTCAAAAATTATTCTTGTAGCTTCGCAAAACTGAAGTTGAGCCACTGATGTCACATGGGCTGTTTTACCGATGTCCTCACTACGTTTCTGGACCTGGGAACATTTAAAAAATATCTTAATTTGTGTTCCGAAGATGAACGAAGGTCTTACGGGTTTGGAACAACATGAGTGTGAGTAATTAATGACAGAATTTTCATTTTGGGCTGAACTATCCCTTTAAAAACTTAGACTCAGTTGTCATCCAGCACAATAGGTGGCGGTATGCATCTACTTAAGTTGGTTTGTAACCTGCCAGTAAAGAAAAAGAAAGATGCTTTTTTTTTTTTTTTTGGTGATGGCTAGAAATGGATAAAACTACGGCCAGAAGTGATGCAAGTCTTGCAAAATCTAGTTCGCTAGTTGTCTTCTTCACTGTCCGTTTAATTTTTTCCTGTCCATCTGGTGAGATTTTGGTTAAAAAGACTTTGCTACAACGTAGGCTGATTAGTTTGTTAGTTGTATTCTTTACTGTCAATTTAATTGTTTTCTTTCACTTTCTTCCTGTCCATCCAGCGAGATTATCCCTTCTAGTTTAACCGTTTTTTTTTTCAGCCAGGTGGTGTAATTACCACAACCTACCAGCAGGGGCTGTTGGGATCGTGTTAACCTGATAAACCCTATTCAAACTTCTTGTGGTCAGTGTTTGTTTTCTAAATGTCTCTTGCCATGCAACCTGCATTGGTTTGCACTAAATTAATTTGGATAGTTCCTACCAAGGGGCAGATGAAGCAGCACCAAATATATAGAGTTTGATTAGGTACACAACCTTTGACGTCAACATCAAAATATATGGGTAGTTATTGGTCACATTTAAGCTCTTGAGATCTTTCGTGACATTCACTGAGAAGTTTGTGATTAGGATGCAGCCCTGGTTTGGTTGACTGCATTGACTGACCTGTGGTCTCCATCTGCAGTAAGATGCTGAAGCTCTGTGGTGAGTCAGAGGAGAAGTTGGCTCAAGAGCTGCTCGTCTTTGAGTTACAGATTGAAAGAGATGTTGTGGAGCCTCTGTATGTGCTGGCTGAGGTGAGCGTGTTTTTCCTGTCAAAGTTACACTGTAATACACATATTGCATCCTTTTTCATCTGCATCTAACCATTTAGTACCTGACATATGAAATAATAGTGAGAATAAGCTTTTTTTTTTTAATTGAGTATCATATTTGATACATCAGGCTTCAATGGTGTAGTATGATACAGAAGAATATGGAGCTTTAAATTGAGGAGGAAAAAACACCTGTTTTATTCAGAGGCCCAGGCTGAGCAAAAAACATAATTAATACAAAAAATAAAAATGCATTTTGGTGCAGCTTCTGATATTTATATGGCCAAAATGAAAGATGAAAGCAATATATAGTATAACAGACAGCGTTGTGAAGGTTACTTTGGAAATGTAATAGGTTACAGATTACAAGTTCCCCTATTTGAAGTGTAATAAGTAGTGTAACTATTTCAATTACTTTATTAATGTAACTGATTATATTTGATTACTTTTTGATTACTTATATTGAACGTTGTCAATTGTAATTCATTTTCAAATCAAAGAAGCATGTGTCCTATGAAACATTGGTGTCTCATATTTTAGAGCAGTCAGTGCAGTTTTGGAAAGATATTTGTGTGTGAAAATATTCAGATGTAACCTCCCTTTTAATCATTAACATTTTCATAAGTAACTGTAACATTAATTTTGTAATTAAATTACATAACTCTGTTACATGTAACTAGTTACTCCCAAACACTGAAAACAGACTACTTACATAAAATGCATGTAAACATAAATGTATAAACATATAAACACTCTGTATCTCCCAATAATATAGTAATTTAAATGCTTATTTTTATGATCAAAGCTATGTCGTTTTTATTATGGGGGAAAACATAGGGCTATATGCAGCAGGTTTGAAGCAAAGTTTTGATATTTTATTTTGATAATTTAGAGGCCTTTGTGTATCAAATATGCATATTAAATATGATACAGTGAACTTTACAAGGTTAGAAGCTAATCCCTAAATGCTTACGATGTTTATGCATGAAGGTTGTATTGCTTAATTCTTCTCATATGGACATGGTTTGCTGTTTAGGTGGAAATTCCGAACATTCAGAAACAGCGAAAACATTTAGCCAAACTCGTCCTGGACATGGATTCTGCAAGGACACGGTACGAACTATGAGCAAAATTACTGTTGATGTCTGTCCGTGATTCTTCTGCATTGCCCACATTGTGCTCTGACAGCGTCATTGGTCCTCCTGACCTCTAGGTGGCAACAGTCGTCTAAATCTTCAAGTCACCCTAGTAATGTGCAGCAGGGCGGAGCTAAGGCTGATTCCTTGAGAGAGGAAATGGAGGAGACGGCCAATCGAATGGAGATCTGCAGGGTGACGATTCCTCTAACTCTTTCTTCCGCATTTCATTAAAAACTTAAACAAATGCGAGGCAAAATTAGTATGTTACTCTTACCTAATAATCTCCAACTTAAAATGTTCTTCCTTTTTTAATTAAAAAAATTGAAATATTTGTGATAATGTAGACCTACATGTCTTCCTCTCTGTAGGACCAGTTATCAGCGGACATGTACAACTTTGTGGCCAAAGAAATAGACTATGCAAACTACTTTCAAACGGCAAGTACCTCTGGGCACTAAAGGTGAAGTGTGTAATTTTAGTTGGATTGGCTTACAACATGTGTGTGTCCTCTTATTGGTCTTGCTGTAGCTCATAGAGGTTCAGGCGGAGTATCACAGGAAGTCTTTGGAGATTCTGCAGAGTGTGCTGCCACAGATCAAAGCTCACCAGGGTGAGACTCTCCACTTACACTTTAATGTCTGAGCGTACAAGTTTGGTTAAGTGGTGGCTTTCAAGTGTGTGTGTGGGTCTGTAAGTAAACTTCTTTCTGTTGCTTTTTGGAGACTGCATTTTAATGTCCATCATGGTGTGTTTCAGAGGCCTGGATAGAGAAGCCATCGTATGGAAAGGCCCTAGAGGAACATCTAGCCATCAGTGGCAGGGAGATTGCGTTTCCTATCGAAGCGTGCGTCACCATGCTGCTCGAATGTGGCATGCAGGAAGAGGTGTGAGACTGCTGAGAAATAACACAGCATGGCTTATTTATACCTGGAAATGCAGGTTTTTTTTCTACAAACTGAGGGATGAGTGGAAATTATTGTCTGTGGTAATCAACAGCATGTCACAGATGCCGTTCATAGACATTATGCTGTAGATAACCTGAAATGATCTGGAAAGATCCCTGTGTTGATAAAGTCCAATTATAGTAGCATTGACCAGGATTTTTATAGTCTCAGCATCATGTGGAACGTCCCACCTACAGTCCATTCACTGATCAAATAGTTGTATTAATATTTTAATATTGCTGAATACTTCCCTTTGTTGAATTATTTATTTATCGAAATTCCCATAAATGACACATAAAAACTAATCATGAATGGCTGCTTTGCATGTCATTCATGAAGTCTGTATTAACTATACAAAGTTATTAAATTACTCACAATTCGGGTTTTTTTCCCAGAAATTAAGAACTCCGTTCTTCAATTAAAACAATACTTAATGAGGTGAAACTTTTTTTTTTGTATTATTTATTATTTTATGTTACAATATATTATTATAATCATTTATTATAATACATATTTTATAAGAAATACATTAAAATGTATCTAATTCAGTTTATACTAATTTAGTTTATCTAATTTAGGTTACAGTTTGATTATTTTAATATATGAGTAATAATTTAGCTAATTTAGAGGGTGTATGTATATAGGCTACTGTATACATACACACACATATATATATATATATATTAGGGCTGCACGATTAATCGCATGCGATATTTAACGTGCATCTTATCAGTAAAGCCGGTTCTGTAATCAGCGGTAAATCTCCATCACCTGCG